TATGTAGGTTTACTCCAGCTTGATGCTTTATCGTAACCTTATATGCCAGACTGGGGGCTCCCTATTGGGAAATTTCTCTTCCCTAGTGAGGTATTTAAAGACTGCATGAAATTGCTCCTGATACACTGAGTTGACTGAGTTTTTTGCAGTGTTTTTACAGTCTGGACAGATATACTGGGTGCAATAATCATGTCACTGGTAAGAAAGTAACTTCATGCAATGGGTTGACCATGGCTGGACATGAGGTGCTCACCAAATCTGTCCCTCCCCTCCTCTGCTGGGGAGAGGAGAGAAAATAAACCAAAGGCTACAGGAGCACAGCTCCCCCCCTCAGTCTTCAGCATCCCTGCTCCGGCTCCTCTGGCACATTCTGCCCCTCCTACTTCACTGATCTTGGTGTCTGCAGGGTGTGTCTCCTTCATGTTCTCACTCACGTCTCTGCCTGCTAATGTTTTAGCATTTTTTAGCCCTTTCTAAAATCTGTTATCCCTGAGGCACTACCATTGTCACCGATGTGCATGGCCAGTGGTGAGTCCCTAAATAGTAATTTTACAGTAATATTCATTACATCTCATGAACGTAATACAAGTTGGGTGGGATCCCTTATAGGTAAGAAATTACTGATTTTAGTTTAGCAGTCAATTTTTGTCTTTCAGTTGGAATGAAGTAATTCTGAAAAATGTATTCTGTTGCAAGCTAACACTTACTTGTTTCTGTTTGTATTTACTAATTATTGAAAGCATTCAGAGGGTTTTTTAGTGCTGAAGTCATCTTGTTAATCATTTCAACCTTCCCTCACTCCAAAGTCCTACAAACCGTCTCACATTTTTTCTTATCTTATGCAGAATCACCTGAAGTGTGTCATCACACGTTCCCTGCTGTTCTTAGAGGTTTGTAGCTCGTAGTACAGAAACATAATAAATAGTTTATTTTATGTAGACTTTTTTCACTAAAGAAGTTAAACTGTGTTCCTTGAACTGTAGCACATATTCAATACACCAGATATAAAAGATAATTTAGTTGTCAGAATTAATGGCTGATGATTATTCTACAGCATTGCATAAACATAACTTTTTAAAGGAGTGGTAGAAGATGAAAGCTGAAACATTTGAATATGTTTCTACTTAGAGTGGCACCAGGAGCCATCATAGTCCAGTAACTTATGCTGAAAGTAAAAAGCTAAATAACACATCTAGTTGCCTCATTATCTTTTTATATAAATTCACCCCAAACAAATAAATCTAACCCAATTCTGAAGTGGTTACACGCAGCCAGCAATAGCACTCATGTCTCTGTTCCTTCATTTTTACCCTGCATAATTAGGTTGCATATGAAAAATAGTAATTTATAAGGGTTTTGGGGTTTTTTAAAATAGATTATGCTCAGTGAAAACTTTACTTTTGATGACTTGACTCTTCAAAGGAGGCATTTGCCACAAGTAGGAATTCCATGGGCTGTGCAGGAGCATTAGATGAACTGATATCACTCTTTTCCAGTAAACCTCTTTTCTCTTTGTCTCATTCAGTGTTCTATAAGGACTGATTTCTTGTCACTGATTGGATGTTAGCCACCTCAGCAGCTGTGTATCCTTGAATTGAGGAAAACATCCACAGTAAGATCAAAGGAAAAACAGGTGTCTGTTCTAATGAAGATCAATTTATCTCAGGATTAAGTCTATGAAAAACACCACCAAGTTCACCTTCCTCCAGTCAAGACCTTTGGAAATCTAATAGACCTTTTATCTGACAGGAAGAGGCTTGAAGAAAACAAAAAATTTGCTTTGTAGACAGAAAGTGTTTTCTATGTACAAGCTGAAACTAGCATTACACACTACACAAGCCTTGTACATAATGACAACTTTATTTTGAACAAAAAGGTTTACCAAAAAAAATAGGCAAGCTTTTCTTTTGGGAAGGTAATGCATTTGTTACTACTTCTCTGGAAATCAAAATTAAAAACCCATGAACAAATAAGCAATAAATTTACTAATTTTTTCTTCTATTTGATAAAAAATGGTTTCTTAGGACAAGAGTAAGGAGGGCTTTATACAATTCAGCTTCCGAAATTTCTGACATACTTAAATCACTTTGGTTCTGGAGCCTTTTACTGTAGATGTAAAACTTTTTATAAAGGCAAGTAGATGTTGTAATATTTCCCTTTACAAGGTTTTGTAATATACAAGCTGGTCAGACTGTGTAATATATTAATACTGGTTGCCTTTATAGGCTTTATATTTTCACTGCCTTATTTGGCATTTCACTGTATTGACGAGAGCATTACTTGCCTAAAATATAACTCTTCTCACTTTTCACTCAATATGGCCTCTTAACTGAATTTTAGTTTTATGACCCTTAAACCCACAAACTAAATGGAAAATGTACCTAACCTACTTAAAGGAAAATATCAAAAGCTGATTCAGCTGCTAATATTATTCTTCTCAAAATCCCCTAAATGCCCAGTGCTTCTTACAACCGCCTTAGCAAAATACTAGCAATCACTGAAAAAAATTTTAAGAGTTCTCCCATAGATAGTAGAAACTTGCAGTGATATTAAATCAGGCCAAGTGTCATTAAAGTCTGCAGGCTTTGCTGACATTTGAACTTTTTTTGGAATCAAGTCTAACAGGGATTTTGTTTAAGCTAAGAGGAAAGTCTCAGAGAAGTGTGTGGTATTAGAAATTCATTCGGCAGCATGGTTGTCAGACACTAAGAGCCAGGCCATAATTCCTGGAAGTATCAATTTGTGTTTGTGAGTGTTTACACAGCCTGATAGAATTGAGTCTTGTCTTGGTGGTTTTTTGTAGGTTTTTTTGCTCCAAAGGTGGCAAAGATTGTTATCAATTTAAAAATAGCTTTAAATATTTCAAAACATATTCATGAAAGTCCTACAAAACAGTTATGCTACCTTTCTTGTTTTAGTAAATCCCTTTTGCTACCAAAATGCATATTTTTTGTGATTACTAAAAAGTCAATCTCTGTCTCTTTTTTCCTAAATGTTAAGTGTAGTCACTTAGTATTTGCTAGAGTGTTAGTTCTTGGTGTTGGGAAATTCTAGCCTTTGTCATTGTTGAAAAGGTAACTCAAAAATAAGGTTTTCATCACATCTGTGTACAGAATTTTAAAATACAATACAGAGGGAGCACATTTTAAAGTTTAAAGCTCAAAAGCATAGTTTAATTAAAATTTTGTCCTCAGATATAGCTCTTATCAGAGCCTGCCTTTTTCAATTTTCCAGTCTGATGACTGAGGAACAGATGGGTAAATCTTGTGACACTGACTTAAAATATTTTTGATTTTTAATATATTTCAACAGCTTGTGTGCTTTGTTCTCTTTTAATGTCTTGGTGATCTTCCTCTATAAATCCTGATAAATCTGTGAAAAGATACCAGGGTTTGATTTTTGTGACTTGAGTACTTTTACCAGCATTAAGAGTCCAAAGAATTGCTCAGCTTTTTGCAGAAACTATTGAATAATGTGGAAGAGAGGTTGAGTAAATAAAAATAAAACCCAAATACACTCTGGGTTACTTATTTTTTCAGTGGTGATTCTGAGTAATTCTGTGGCAATATAAACATAGATTTTCTTGGTACCCTTCAGATTTTATAATTTACACCCAATGAAGTTCTACAGAGGGTGTAGGAAAAGAAACTAAATTATTTATTTTGTCTTCTCCATTAAGCTTTCCTTGCTATGGTTTGTCTGTGGTATCTACATGGCAAAGTGCTGAGGGATCTATGATGAAGATACCTTAAAGTAGAATTTGTTTGGTGCTGGGTTTCCCCCCCCTAATTTTCAGGAAGTAGACCAATTGTCTTTTCTTGAAGATTTCACTTTTGTGACCAGAGTAAATCACTGAATGATGAGGGGTTCAAAAATCCATCAATCTGTGTGTGACTGACCACCACTCTAATCCCAAGTCACTGAGAAACAATGTAGATGATGAATCAAGTTTTTTTTTTCTTTTTACTTTGTTTTTTCACCTCAGATTGTGGTGAAAAATCAGATGAGAACACAGATGCTCAAAATAATCCCAACATCATTCCCAGGACTGCTGTGATTTTTTCTAAATCATTCTAGTACATCTGGACGGCTGTTTCAGTAGTTTCATGCAACAAAAACAATATGAAAGACATTTAAGGCAGTTTAAGACTACATTTTAAGCAATTCTGCAATAAGGGGAGCATTTGTGTACATGTGTCTATTTTTAAATGCTTTTGGGAAACTGCAGGGTGCACTGCTTATTTTTTATCTCAAGATCCTGCTGTAGTATGTGTTGAATGAACATGTGAGCTCAAACCAGGAGTACCTTGCTGAAAATTCTTTCCTGATGTAAAATTTCAAAACTTTAGAGCTATGTTTCTGATTTTAGTTTTATGAATAACTTGCACACCCTCAATTTATGAGTGCTAAGATTTTTACAGAAAGCCAGGGTTTAATAAACTGTGAGAACTACTGAAATTTTTACATGCATTTTACCAAAGCATTAAAGATCAATTCATTCAAAGTTCAGATGTGATATGACTCACTTTCTTCACAGTGAATTCATGATGACTTTCATTAAAACAACAAAGAGACACAATATCTAGAAAGTCAACACACAAAAGAGAAATATCCATGAGATATCACCTACAGTTACTGTCAGTAACTTTGGGTTTATGAAACTTCACAGCTTTGAAATTATTCTAAACATGGCAACAAGAAGTTTCCATTAATAGTACTTTTGTCAGAAAGAAGTTGCATATAGATAATAAGAGTGTGATGAAAAATTAAAATTTTTTGCTAGTTTCCCTATCTTTTAAAACACAACTCTCTTTATATATTGTTTTTATTTGTATATTTTTTTACATGTAAAAGATTAAATGAATGTATATAATTACACTTTGATAAAACCTCTAATTTTTTTATATTTTGTCACTTAACACCCTCTATGTATGTTAATATGTTAAAGAACGTATTTTTTTCTTTTATCATTTTTTCTGCCTTACCTATTCTTGGAGTAGTTTAAATTGTGAGATGTTTCCAGCAACATGAAAACCTGAAATATGCAATGGAGGTAGGTCTTGATTTTGAAAAAAAAACCACTTGTAAAATTAGGTTATTATCTAATATATTTATAGGATTTGACAGAAAATAATTTATCCTTGTTTAATATATATTTTGTAGGAACACTAGGAACATTAGTGATATCATTCAGAGTATGAAATTCAGTGTTCTTCCAAAGACTTTCAGATTTGTTTGGATTTCTAATAAATATAAAATTCTGTTTCTCATATAATTTATGGCATGAAGACATGAGTAAACAAGTGTGCTATGCAATGAAAACTTCCCTAGTATTAAAATAATTACGGCAGCTTATCTAAGAATTAAGATACAAACCCTCTGTCCTTTAACAACTTTATATTCTTTTTGTTTTCTTAGAAATGTCACCAAATCTGGTTTTGTTTTGGTATCATTGTTTTTCGTCTTGTCCCATTTTCTCTAATTTCACGTCTCACAGCCTGTGTAGCAGAGTGAATGTCTTTCCTTTTTAGTTATTGTTTTGGTAAATAGTCTGTGATCTGTAATTGATGTTTACAAAAATAATTGCTTAAGGTTTTGTTTATTTGTTTCATTACACTGCAATATAGATTTCTAGGATAATGGAAATTTTTCAGCACGCTATTTCAGCAATGTATTTTCATTATATGCCAATGTTTATGCATAAAGCATCCTGTTTGCTTGTTGTTGGATGACAGGCAGCTTGTCAAGTATGCATGACTGACTTTCTTCTAAGAATATTTAAAATTCTTTATATAAAGATCTTTATATGACTAGATCTCCTCAACTAACTCAGTGAGGGGAAAAGAACACCTTACTGAATATTTATAGCTTTGATGGCCTAAGTACTTCTTTATGGAATTTTATTTTACCTTTTTTTTGGGGGTTTTTTTTTCTGCTCTTTAAGTAAGTAGGTCCTTTTTATGTATTAATAGTGTATTGCTAACATTAAGCCTTTACTTAAGTCTTGGAAAAGAGGATTTAGACCTTGGGGAGATAATGAATCAGAGATTAAAAAACCCGAAGCATCTAACTCAAGGTGTTTCCCAGAACTTAATAATAGTCAAATTATTTTGATGCAAAAAGTATTGTGCTAGTGCAACACTTGAATGTAATGTATTCAAACACGTATCAGGTTATTGTAGTTATTTCTCTGTTTTTCCTTGCCTTAGTCTCTGCTGCATTAGGGATAGGACCATGAAACATCTAAAACCACCGTCACTAACTGTAGATCTTTATGAAATATATCTGACATTCTGAATATGCAATTGTAACAAAGCTTAGCTCCTCAGCAATCATAGAGCACAAAGGAAACCTGATTTAGCTGACTAAACTAATTCTGTTTGTGAGATGCTTTGTTTATACTCCTCTGCTGGTACCTTTAGGTACCTTTTTAGATCTGGTCATATATGTCTCTTTGTGTTGAATGTACTGGCATCAAAGCAAAAATTAAACTGTTGAAGTTGACTCTAACACTTATATTTTAATAATGTTCACTGCATCGAATGCAAATAATTAAAAAACAGGAATCTCACAATATATTGCCAGTCTTCAGGACTGTCTTCAGCAAGCCCTTGGCAAGGAAGGGATCTTGGTTTTGTTTTTCTGCTGCAGTGAAGAGTCATAATGTAAGAACCTTTTTGAATCTTATACCAATTCTAAGACACTTACAGAGTTATCAGAGTTTTAGAATCTAAGATCTTATATTTTGATGGTGAGGATCTGCTTACAAAGCAGGTTATGGTATATAGTAAATTTTGGAACACTAATGCACTGAAAGATTCTTATTTATTATCAAATTCATTCCTTTACTGTTGTGGGTAATTTTTTCCTAAGTATGTTAAACCCTATTTTACTATTTCTTTAAAAAATTTAGCATTCCTTTTTACAAAAAGATTCTCATATGTTCTTCCACATTTTTAAAGTTTCAAAGCACTTCATGTATACCAAAAGAAAATATTTTCTATGTGCAAAATTTTAGTTTCCTGTTTTGATTTGCATCTTCATATGATATTTTAACACAAGGTATTCATCTATACCTATCTCTAGCTAATCAACGCTGTGGATTCAGATAAATGTTTTACTTTTGCTGACTAGCACTTAGTTTGATGAAAGATATGTAAACATTTCTAATGTAACACAGACAACCAGTTAACAAAGAGGTGACCTTTTTCTTTCATTATATGATTGTCATTCAGTAGTGCATTTAATGAGCATACAGAATTCCTGAGAGCCTCTACTAGAAATGTATTGTCATCTCTGATGAACATACAAGTGGCTGAAGTAGAATTTTTGATAAATGTATACCTTTATCAGCCTTGCTCTCTGGGACCCATTAGGAAAGCTTTAACATTGTGAATCATCTAGGCATCCTCAGATGTTTAAATACAATGAAATAAAAATGTCACTGAGCTCCAAACTTAAATTAGGTCCATACTTTTGCATATAAAATTAATAAGATATAAATATACAAAGGTCATTTAGGCACTCTAATGTATTATAACTAAAGAATTTTTTGGGGGGTTTTAGAGACCTCTTATTTTTATGAATCATGTTGACATTTTCATACACTTGGCATAATCCATGTGAATAATAGACAGATTGGTGCTTTGATGCACAAATATCTATCTGCAAGATTCTTTGGGCTACATGTGATAGGTAGAACATAGTTTGTAAAGAATTCAAAGGAGGATTTTTGCCAATTTTTGTTTGTATGAAAACCAAATGTATTCTCTAAGGATCAGAGAGAACTGCATGTAGGAGGGGGCTGATGCTCAAAATCTTATGACAGTTGCAGCAACAAAAGTGATATAAATTTCACAATGGGGAAGATATGGGTTGATTATAAATATTTAACAGAAGTTAAATTTCTTGTATAAAAACTTTTCATGAAATACAAGAATATCTCCAAGATAAGTGAAGGATAGAAGATAAAGCTGACCTGTAACAGAATTACAATGTCTAAAAAATAAGATGGTAGGGGTCAGTGGACAGGCAGCAAACCAATAATATGCTCCTGCAGTCTCTCACCTTTACCGAAGAGTTTTGAGGGAGAAGAATAAGAAAGAATCTGAAAGGAGAATGATAAAAGACAAGTGATACACATCTTTCCTTAGAGGCCTGACATTAATGAGCCTGTAATGGGGGCTTGTTAGACTAAGTTATCTTTTGCTGAAGATGTAAAGTTAAGCAGTTATGCTAATAAGAAAAGGAGTAGCAGGACAGATTAAAAAGAGAAGAGTCAAAAGTAAAATATGGAACTCTGCATTGCTAGTCAGTTTACATGCAGTTTGGCTATTAAAAAGGTAAAATTTAAGATTATAAGACCTTGATATGTTCCAGCTGTGTAGTTTGAAAACTAAGTTATCTCCTACAAGATGATGTATTTCTTCTACAAACATTGCCCCCAGAAATACTGGTTATATATGAGCACACACATTCACATAAACTCATGTGAAATATTCATGTGAAATACTAATTTAAGATTAAGATGCTGTTTTCTTTTTAAAACAAGTTGCCTGTTGACTGCCTGTTAATGTACTTGAGAAACTCTTATGCTGGACATTTGTTTTGGCTCCTGAGACAAGCATGACAGCATAAATCAAACAAGTCACTCCACTGATATATATTATAGAATACATTTTACTAAATATTAAAGTACTTTTTAAAGGGTGTTAGAGGTGGTTGGAGGAAAAGTATTTCGGTTTTTTAAAATATTTTTCAGTTTGACTAGTTTTACAAAAAGAATGGTCTATCTTTATTCCTACATAGTTGCTATCTGCAAAAAAAAAAACATACAAACCTCATTAGCTGAAGTTCAAACTAAATTGTAGCAGTTTCGGATGTGGTTTGATTTGGTTAGGTTCATCTTTGAAGAGTTTCACCCAAAATGATTTGCAGAGTACTTAAATTTAGATAGCATTTTGACAGGCCACTCTTCCTGGATCACTGGATGCCTTGCCACAAATTGAGGACCTTCCCTGTAGGCAGGCAATGGTATCCTGGTTGTGGTGTACAATAACTGCATCCTAGCATAACCCTCAGGATTATGTTTGGGTGCATTGACCATGGTATAGAACTTCTGGGTCACAGAACATCTGAGATTGGCATGAAATCACAGAAGAGCTGAGATAGGCACTGATCTCTGGGCATCTTCTAGTCTAACCCCACTGCTCATATCAGGGTCAGTGAGAACCGGTCCTTCAGGGCTTCAGATAAAAGGTTTCCAATATCTCCAAGGATAGCGACACCGCAGGCTAAGCTCTCTCAATAACCTGTTCCAGCGTTTGACCACTCTTACAGTTAAGTCACTTCTCATACTTAAATGGAATTCAGTTTGTGTCTAATGCTTCTTGTCCTGGGAACTACTGAGGAGAGTATGACTGTCTGTTCTACAACCTCCCATCAAGCATTCACATTGAAATGCATGCTTTTGCAACTTCGGCTGGCACCAATGTATACAGAAGAAAGAATGATAATTTTAGTGGTTCTTGCTCCAGAGCTATATACTTTAACCTGGAAAATCTGTTGTTTTTGGCAAAAATCTAGGAGAAAGAGCAACTGGAAAAACCTAAGATATTTTTCATCATGGGAAGTATGAATGGAAGCATGAAAGTTACTTGATTTTGGACCAAAATCAAATAACTGAAAAGAAAGACCTTAATACCAGCATGTGGTTCATAATCCTTACTGGTACTTTATGTGCCCTGCCCAGACCAATCCCATTTATATATTTTCTCCCCTTTAATGCATAATTCTGCCTGTGACTTTATTAGAATAGTTAACTGCATAATTTAAGCATAGCTGAAAATTATACAAGCATTTCAATAAAATGGTTTGTTAGGGGAAACTCTTATTGGAAAAATGCAGTCATGCACGGAATGGAAAATATGGAATGAGATTTGTAAATGGAATAAATTTAAGAGACAAATGAGTTGTTTTTATAACTGCTATTTAGTTCTTGTTTTTTCTTTTCTGATAAGTAGGATTACAATATCTATAATTTTGTTTCTAATATATTCATTCATTAGTTTTGGCTTTTTGCTTAAGACTATGATAAGATTTATAGCTGTATTTGCAAAGAAGCCAGGCTAATTCAGATCTTAGCCACATTTTGTATTTGAATGCTGATCAACATGTTATTATCTTCTTATTTTATTGCTCTCTTTTACATTTGATTTTATTGGATATCCCAAGACTATTGTGAACTCCTAGCATGTAAGAGGCTTTGATTTGGCACTGAAAGCATGTGTGTTTACAGAATAGAATATATTTATTTACATATTTAAATGAATATTTATCAGGGGTTTTTTCAAACTTGGAATATGCTCACTGGAATAACTTTGGGTCAGTATAATAACTGTACCATATGTCTCTATATTTCTGAACCAGGTGGCTGGCAATCATGTCTCCAGATGAGCAGTGGTTCAGTGACAGCAACAAAAACCCCTCTTGTTCTGTGCATACATTTCCTTGAAAAATCCCTGTTTTCTACTTTAATTTTTGTTTATTTCTGAATGCTGTTTTAGTATCAAAAATTCTGTTGTTTGATGATAATTCAGTATTGTATAACTAGAATTTCTTTCCTATGTGACTGAAGGACAGATGTTGCTAAGCAAAGAACAGCTATATTAGCATTAGTTTCTCTGCAGTATTGGTTAAGTTACTAGTATGGTGCATCTCTTGCAAGAGTACTTGGCCTAGTAAGTGCCATATCATGTATTTGCTAAATTTATATGTTTCTCCATAGTCAGAATAAACCTATTTCTATAAACCCTATTTCCTACCTATTTTGTAGAAAGAAAGCTTTTTCATGTCAACTTATAAGTCTGTACTTTACATATATGATTTCTTTCATTCCAATTTATATTTTCTTTTCTTAGACTCATATAAATTATTATAGACAGTAGATAGAGTTGGTCTAATATTTTCAGAGTTTTCTTCAATGTATTGTCTGACTTTATATGTACTAATACTTCCCTCACAATATTCCACTACAAAGGAAAGGTAAGAGAGTTTTCAGTGTTTTTTGGTTTATTTATTGGTTATAACTTTCAAGTTACTTCAATATATTACTGTGTGCCCTTTTTTGTTTTTTGCATATCTAATAAGTATTGTGTATAATGTGAATTTTTAATGCATATGTTTTCTTAAGTGTCTTTAAAAAAAAAAAAAAGCTTAAATCCTTTCACTGGAAGTTTCATGCTAAAACCAGCACAATGCTCTAAGTTAAAGTATGTAAAGTTATTTATATCCCCTCAAAGCTTAAGTTCAAGTGACACAGAAACACTTTACCTAGGTTGGCCTGTTGCTATTTTTGTACAGACATACATACAGAGAGAGATATTTTTTAAGAACATGGAGAGTTATGGTTTTAATGCAACTTCATCCAGAAAAAGATCATAGTTTTGTTTTGCTCAAAAATCTGGAACATAAATATAATCCCTTGTTTCAGAGGGGAAATTTTTCTTTTATAGATAAACTTGAACTGGTACTGGAACAGGTATAAGCTGTTTTTTGAGACACTCCCAAACTGGTTTTGTTTCGAATTTGTCTTCACTTTTGACCACTTCTCTTTTCTTTTCTGTACTTTAACCAAAAAAAGACAAAACCCCAACACCATCACTGGCTTACATAGTGTTTCTCATATTATCTGGTGATCCTTCTCTGTGCCACATACTTTGGCAAGAAATGTGTAGCAGCATATATTATTTGATTCTCTTACATGAGCCTATGTCTGTTATTTCCAATGATATTTTCTACACAAAATGTCATGTTCAGAACTAATGGATGAGTGACTTCTGGAAAAATTTGACCTGTTCTGTGAATAAAAATAGTAAGGTACTATTAAAAAAATTTTAGCTGAGCAGGTCAGGAGGAACACCTTATGTAACTTTTGTTACAGAATAAATAAAAGTCTGAAGTTCTTTGTCTCTTCCACAAGTTCAGGAAGCTGACAAAGAAAGTCTCAGGGATTTTATGCATGTTTAAGCATGAAACAAACAATTGAATTATGCACATATTCTACTAATGTGTTGCAGTAATAAATCCTTGCTTTTGATACACATAATCTTGACAATTAGTTATTTTGCCTTGTCTCCTGGGAATCTGTTCCTATATTAGGTAAGTAACTTTATATATCCCACAATCGGAGAGATTATAAAACAGGGCTAAGCATAGGCATACTCAAACAGTAATGGTTCTTGTTAATTTATCAGGTATTCAGGAGTGCTTGCTATATCTCTTCTCTGAGTCAGAATACCAAATACACAGGCTGAGCAAAGGACATAACAGAAGTACTGAAAGCTAACAAATCATCTATGTTGCTTTATTACCTATATAGTGAGATTTCTGAAAGTGCTCCTGTCTATTGTGTGCATTGTATCAATTGTTAGCTCCAACAGGGAATAGGAGCTTTAAGTTCTTCATGAAAATTCTTCCTCTTGCCTCCTAAGAGAACTTGTGAGAAACCCAAAGTGCCTGAGAAACTCTGAATTTATGAATTATCTCTTACTTGTCTTTTACAAGCTTTGAGACATTTTTCCTAAAGGTTTCTCTTGTTATGCATAACAAAAATCTTAACTAGACTTTAAAGACCAACCGAGAGCACCTGTCACAGAGAATAGGATAGATTGACTATAGTGCTAAAACCTTCAGTATCACTTATCTATATTTTATTGTATCACTTATCTATATTTTAATTTCTATTTATTTTATATTTTTTTTCATTGCTTGGATGGTGAATTTTCATCTTGTAAAGTGACATATCTAAGTGCAATATAAAGGGATATTTCCCCAAAAAATTATATTTACAGAAATAATTTTGTTATACATTTAGAAGTACACTTTTATAGCTAAATTAAAGTTTTTCAGCATAAAAAGTTCCCAAGATGTATCCCATCACTGGGGGTAGCAGGCTGAACTATAATATTTTAGCTAAATATTTTTGCTTATAGAAAATGCATTTCTGCCTGAATTGCATGACATCGTATGGAATGAATTTTTTATGCATTATGCCCCATCTTTCAATATAAATAGTTTCTGAATCCTGCAATTTAGAAAAGGTTTCTTAAAGAGAAAATGGTGGTGCTTCATGGCTTCTGTATGGCAGTACTTATGGTATGCTTGCATGACATATTTAACTTAAGTAATCTTGTTTTAGTAGAAAGGCAATTACTGATAAACGAGAAGCGCTTAAGGGTAGCTTAATTAATAACTTTCTTTGATTACTTTGTGACTCCATAATCCAAGTCTTTCCCTAAAATACAGCACAAGTATTTTTTATCCACAAAACCCATCTCAAATGTCGTTTCTATTTCTAAAAAAAACCCTAAAATTTGGCAATTTGCCAAGAAATAGCCAGAAAGTCTCTTCCAATCCAAACCATTCATAATTCAGAATCATAATTCTGTCATTCTAAATGGACTGTGTGCAAATGCTTTTCCACTAGACAACTGAAACACTTCATCACATAGATGAGAAACAATAAATAATATTAAGCCATTGTTCTTCTCTATTCTTGTTTGTAAAAAGGCTCATTCCAATTTTGCCTTGCACTTTTGCATATGGAAATGTCAGTATTTCACTGGGACTATGAGACTATACGTATGAATTCTCCTAGAACAGTCACCACATGTAAGGAATGTAAATTCTGTGGTTCTGTCCTTAGAATATCCATTCATCTCTGGAAAGTTTTTCTCCTCAAGAATTACACAGTGTGTGGACCAACCCATGACAGCACCAGGTAAGGAATTTTATCCTAAAAAAGTTTAGCTATTTTGTACACAATAGGATGATTTTGTAAAGTGAACCGCTGTGTAAAAAAGAAAGAGGAAGAAAAGATATTCTGAAATTTTTACATGGATTTCTTTTTTCTCCGCAGATTCTTTTAAGTGAAGCAGTGTGATCTTAAAACTTAGTGTCAAGCTCTTCAGATAGCTACTAGATTTAACAAGGTTGAAAAAGGTAAGTGAAATATTTAATGCTAAATATTTAATTTTAAGCAAATCACTATTAGAAAACAGAAACCTCAGTATTTACTAGGCACTGTTATTATGTGTTATGTGAATGACATCCACAGTGTAAGAGGCTCTTTGAGATCTCTCAATATTTATTGTTTTGTTAAATTTCTCATGGCAGTTTCTAAGTTAAAAAAAAACAAACCACACCTACATGAAGGAAATAAGGAAGCGGAATTGCAAACATATTGTCCTTTATATAACTTGGTATCATTAAAACAAGCATTCAGGTTTTCAAATCTAAGTGTGACATGAGGGAAATGAAAAAGGGTATAAAAACTGTGATGTACATATTAGACAAATGTAATTATCTTTTCATGTTTTTGTTTGTTTGGGGGTTCTAGTTGGGTTTTACTTTTCTAATGCAGAAAACAAACTGGCCAAGCTTAACTGAAATAATCAAATAGAATGGAAAGAGTTAGTTAAGCACACAACAAACAAAGCTGTCTTGTCAAGTCTTGTTCATTTATGTGATGCTGAATCTTTTGTGAAATAAGATTCAGTAAAAGCAGCGTCATCAAGAATACCTATTTTGCTATTTTACTAGACAGATTAGAGAAAACATATCTATTTAATCAGTCCTTTACATAAACATAATATGTAAAATGCTCACTTAAAAATTAATTTAAATCAAGGGGAATTAAATGAATGCTATGTAAATCAGCATTTCTTTTATCTCTAAGAGAGACATTTTTCATCCTTTACATATTTGTGGGTCAGATACTGCCTCAAGGAGAAAGAAAGTTATGAATAATTTACGAATCACCATTTTTGCTTCTGATGAAGCAGTATGACACACTTTCAGGGCTAGCTACATGCAACATATTCCAGGGAATATTGCTTATTGAAAGAAGGGTTTTCTCCTGTATTGGGGTCCCCAGACCAAGAACGACATGGACCTTTCAGAGAGGGTGCAGAGGAGGGCCACAAAAATAATGCAGGTCAGGAACACCTGTCCTGTGAAGACAGGCTAAGAGAGTTGTAGTTCTTCAGTCTGGAAAAGACTTAAGGGCACCTTATCACAGTATTTTAATATATAAAGGGACAGTTATAAAAAAGATGGAGAAAAACTTTTAACCAACTCCTGCACTGACAGGACAAGGGCCAATGACTTTCATTGAAAGAGTATAAGTTTACATTGGACATACTGAAAATATTTTTTATAATGAGGGTTGTGAGACGCTAAAGCAGATTGCCCAGAGGAGTTGTAGATGCCCCACCCCGGGAAGTGTTCAAGGTCAAGATGGAAGAGCTTTAAGCAATATGATCTGGTGAAAGATGTCTCTGCTGATGGCAGGTAGGTTTACTAGATGGTCTCGTAAGGTCCCTTCCAACACAAACCACTCTATAATTCTATCGTGTGTCTGAAAAGAGAGTTTATACTTGGAATTTTAGAGAATATGACAGAAAAAAATTTTGTCTGAATTTCATAAGCAGAGTAAAAATCATCATAATGAAATACTAAAGCCTAGAATAATAAAAGGACTAATTGTACGTTAATATTATTGTCAATAAATTGATAGTGGGGAAAAGCCTCTAGAGAAAAAAAATATCCCTTCTGTATCAAACTATTAGGAAAGTCTAATGACAGGTCTAATTCAATGATGCTCATTTTTCCATCCAGATTACTGTAAACAAATGCTATATGTTTATATGTTTTTGAAATACATGCTAAAATCTGCTGTCAAAAGTGACCCCAGAAACTAATAAGATATTTTTGTCATTACATTAATGATCCAGAAAAATAGAACAAGTTAATTAGTGGAAAATAATTTACTGGTTTGAGAAAAGGTAAGGAACACTTAGGAACCAAGCATACTTTTAGGATTAATGGGTATCATCAGTGATTATACCTCTAGTGCTTGTGGCCAAAATTACCCATACAGGTAATTTTTTAATGAGGTGATGGCAACAAATTTCTGCTCTATATTGCTAATCAAAAAAATTTCCTTTCTATTATAAATACCTCATTCTTCAGATAACATTGTTAGAAAATACATTCTTAATATGTATAATTTTTTTTTCTTCAATTAAATCACTATTATCAATGCTAACTATGCAGTTTTTTAGTTCACTGAATTTCACTGACAATTTTTTATGAATTAAAAAGGTATTATTATTTTAGCAATATCTGTTTGGTACTTATTTGTCAAGAATGTGAGATATATTTACTCAGGTGATGAATTTTGCATTTCACTCCTTGTGCCTGACAAAACTAATGCTGATTTATGCTTCCTTTGGTCAAAAGAAGAAACATGACAAATCTTTATTCTCTATACCTTCAAACCATACAGTGTTCCTAATGTCTGACTACACGTGGTCTGCTTTATCTGTCTCATGGTATTACATTGCACTGCATTTTGCAGAAAATAAAATATTTCTAATGTAACCATAAAATCATCTTCTTTTGTTGAGCATAGAAGTTAAATCCTTAACAAAGATGATTTGACATATGAAATCACTTCTATTTTGATGAGCTTTTATATAGTTGTTAATAAAATCATTGACACCTATATGCATATAATATTGTATATATAAGAGAGGAAGATATAGAAAAGTAAAAATGTGCAAGTTATTTTACTTGATTGACTATAAACTCTCTGATGCATTTCAGGAGGTGAAAATAGTGTTACTTGATGTATTTCAGGAATAATTTTTTTATATCTGATTAAAATGCAGATGAGCATAACAAACTATTTTAATTCGTAAGGGTTGATCTCCTGATGCAGTCTTCCATCTGCTTCAGGTGTAGGGTTTGCAGAGATTTTGCTACAAGTACTGTATGCAATTAGGGTGCAGATACAATCCTCAGCCTAAAACTCTCTATGCAAATGTAAATGCCTTTATAATACTTTTGATGATACCTGCTATTTAAAAATAAAAATCTGCAACTTTATAATGAAAACATTTTTCATGATGAGAAATTATAGAAGTGCTATGGAAAATTTGCATGAGAATACATGGAAATTCTGAGATCAGGATCTGATCTCATATTTCAAATCTTCAAGTACTAGTAATGTTACTTGGGTTATTTTTTGTTCTTAGGTTATTTACTTAATATTTAAGGAGACATAAAACAATACAGAAGTCAATGTAATTGTCTTAAAGACTTTTATTTCTGTGTTTTGCAGAGTAGATTTTATTAACTGCTTGCTAGTGTCTTTTATTAAAGAATTGCCTTGCAATTATTTAGGAAGGGAAATTATCCCAAAATTTCTCATCTCAAAAATCTCTTTGAAGATGAACTCAGAGTAATTTTTAGATACTTTATCACATTAAAAACAACCAATAAATGTTTACCACACCTACACTTAGAAATTAGTAGAGGCGCACAATTTTCTTGGCGTAATGACCACTAGATACAAGAGACTAGGAAGTGAAGAATTGTGTTCTTCAAATGTGTCAGAGAAAAGGAAATGTTACCAATTGGTAATTTTCTATTTAACAGATGTTGCATAAAGAGATGTTGCATTTTTACTTTAAAAATATTTTAATTTTTTTATTTGGTAGGAAGAATAACAAACCTGCCCTTTCAGTAAAATATTGTACACAGCTTCTGCAAAACAGTCTGCTTTGAAAGCTGGCAAAGAATGCAGGATCAGCAATGATTTGACATTGAAAAATTAAGCTGAGTTATTTAGTGTCAGGAAAATGCATTCAATGACCAGAAAAAAATATGTATAATACTTCACTTGCAAAGAACAGTAATACTCTGTAACATGGTTACTTGTCAACAGGAGCTTTCTTTATAACTTTTTTTTTAATTGAAAAAAGTAATTGAATATTCAGTTCATTCTCAGTCAATTTTTTGATAGGCTGTGTGTCATCATATGGTAAAATAATTTTTAAAAAATGTTATCTTTTAAAGGATAGTCGCAGAAGTAAAAATCTGCAAGATTTTTTTTGTCTCTATGAAAACTGGAGTTATATGGCCATGCTTATGTCCTGAGAAAGAACTCTTCTTGCTAGGGGACTACACCCTTGAACACTAGAATGAGGTATCTTGGACTGCTGGAATGAAGAGATAAGTAACATGGAAGAACTGACAGTGGATACAGACAGTAACAAAAACATTCTTAAGGGTGAAAGAGTTAAAGATCATAAAAACTTGGGGTTTAGAGTGTATTTCTTAGTGGGCATGTGTACTTTTATTACGGATAGTAACCAAAAGCTAATATCTCTTCAAGAGGAGATAACAGCATCTATATGAAAGAAAAAAAAACCCCCACAAAGGTCTAGAAAGTAGATTGTGATAATTCAATCATGAAGGGAATAGCATAGCTTTATTAATTTCTATGACTATGTAGAAAGAGCCTGACCTTCCTGGCCTGTAACTATTACATATGAATGAAAATTGGCAGTGGTTGTACAATTAGGTTAATTGCTGATTCTGTGATAGAAGTTGCAAAGAAAGGGTGAAAGGTAATGGTAAATTGCAGCTGCATAATTTCTGATATATTAGAAAGGCTTTGACCTAAATCAAGCTAAGTTTACCAAACTCTGAATATGGTAGAATAACTGCCAGCATAATTGCCTAATGGCAATTTTTTCAGCTTTCTAGTGTGAGCAAAAAATATTCTCTCTTCAGTTTGCATCTTCATAACTGTTATAAATTTGGTGTCCAGCTCTGGCTTTTAATATCTTTATCACTTTTTATTTTTAATATTCTGTGGCTCTTACTCTTGACTTTGTGCTCTCAGATTCTATAGAACAAACTGGAACTCTGGGGAACTTTCTGTTTCCAAAATAATTGTGTGGAACTGTAGGAATACAGACAAAATGAAGTTAAAGCTCCTCTTAGAAAAAAGACAACTTGTAATTATAAGGTGCTTTTTGCCTGCTGAGGAGATGAGAGCTTTCCTGGTGGTATATTGGAGAGTTTTCAAAATGTACAAGAATAAAAGACTATTTTTATTTTCTTAACAAAGAAAATATCCCTTAAAAAGG